TGCTGAGGAATCCCCTTCATAACCTGCCGGAAAATCTGCTAAATACCTGACCTCTGCCCACAGTTTTCATTGGCCTGATCCTTGGCACAAAGAAGATTAAGGGCAGAAGAACCCCCACCTACTTGGGCAATAGCTACTAAGGCACAGCAGATAGTAGAGCCTTTGGGACACCCTGGGGCACCCACTGTCACTCGCCCATTCACAGAGTGGTTTGAGGAAACAAGAAATGAGTGATTGTAAAGGAATTAAGATTTTGTTAGCCAAATGTCCTTCCAGTGATAGGGGCAAGGACTTCCTACACCAACCAGAGGTCTCCTGGAATCTGAGACCGAGCCGCGTGAGCGTTCTGCTGAGTTTGTCTTTGATGTCCTGGTTTCCAGCACGCTGGGCCACTTGTCACTTCCCCTGAGCTGGGTTTTCTTCACATTCAGCTTCCAACGCAGGAGCTTCAGCCGAGTTGGGCCTCTGCTGTGCTTGGCTTCTGCCTCATGGGGGCCGAGCTGAAATTGTTTGAGCCGGGTTAAATCCTAGTCACGGCACCATATATGCCGGGGGGAGTGTGTAATTGCCTTGGTCTGTCTCGCTGCAGCAAAAATTTGAAGCGACAGATAGGCCAGCGTTACAGCTCTGTGTTACAACTCAATTTTATTTAGAAAGCAAAGGAAAATATATCCTTGAGGTGTGAGGGCGGGTTGACCCGAAAAGACTTGAAGAGAGGAGAATTCCCCCGGTCACGTTTGGCTCCTCTTTTTGTATGTTCTTTTCTCCTCCCCCGTCACTGCCCTATGTAAATTGAGCTAGCCAGGAGGGTTGTTTGTTTTACCTGAGGTCCTTACTCCGGTCCTCAGCCCTTCCTTTGTTCTATTTTTGTGGGCTTTTCCCTCTGTCTTTTAGCCACTTCCATTCTGGACTCCTTTTTCCTATTCTACTTACCTAGCTCAAGTGGTAAAGAATCTGCCTGAGATGCAGATTGACCCAGGGTTCAATCCCTCGGTCAGGAAGATCCTCTGGAGAATGGCATGGCAATCCAGTCCAGTATTCTTGCCTGGAGAATTCCATGGACAGAGAAGCCTGGCGGGCTACAGTTCATGGGGTCGCAAAGAGTCGGACACGACTAAGCGGCTAACACACACACACTATATATATATATATACACACATACACACATATATGTGTATATATATGATTTTGAAATAATGTCTTTTTTGTTTATATATTATAAACAATATATGTTCATTTATGAAAAGTCATAAAAGTAAAAAAATAATATGAAGATTATCAGTTGATATATATATCTATTAAACTACTGGGCTTCCCTGGTGGCTAAGTGGTAAAGTATCCGCCTTAAATGCAAGACACACAGGAAACGCAGGTTTGATCCCTGGGCCGGAAAGACCCCTTGGAAAGGAGGGAAACCTACTCCAGTATTCTTGCCTGGAGAATCCCATGGACAGAGGGCTACAGTCCATAGTGTCACAAAGAGTCGGATATGACTGAAGCGACTGAGCATGTGCACTGGCATATCACTACTATATATATAGCATATATACTATATATAGTATACAGTATTATATATGTATATAATATATAAATAACTACTGGTACTCTTCATGTTATTTTATTTATTCCATTATTTGGTAGTGATTTTCATATATACTATATATAGATACTATATATAAATATATTTTTTATATATATATACACACACAATATTTCCAAAGTGTTGCCTTTTCGAAACTGAAAGCCTTGATTCATAATTCAAATAACACACTTTCTTTATCTTTAAAGGCAAACACAAAGATTCTTATCACTCACTGCCACACGAATCGCGGGCTGGTGGCCCACCGGCATCTTTTCCTAAGGTACTGTATAGCAGGGTACAGCAAAATGCCATGCTGGAGGGTGGAGGCTGTGAATATAGGCAAAGAAGTTCAATTTAAAGAGGATGGCCACGCACAAAAGTCCTTTGATGACGAAAAAATATTACCACCCAGAACTTTGATGGTGAGAAAACTTACCTTAGAACCCTTTCTAGTATGCAAGTCTTTCCCCATAGAGGATTTTTAGCTATCATGGGGTCCTATACACCTTGTCCATGCCCAAATCTGGTGAGTCTTGCTGGCAAAAACATCCTATTTTAGAGAAACTCCTTCCCCGCAAGGGCTTTATATAGCTCTCTGCTGAACCAGGGGTTTTGAGATGAACTTAACAGCTTACTGAGGGTTGTAATTCCATTTCCAATGTGTGTTAATTCTTTCCTGCCCCAGAACCTATTTTGGAAAGGAAGCAGAGGTGGCTGCTCACACCTATCTGGATTCACACAGAGTTGAAAAGCCAAAGAACCACTGGATGTTGGTGACTGGGGCTCCCAGGAAGGACTTGTCCACCATGTTGGACCTGCCCAAGACTCCGACAGAGGACACCCGAGCCCTGGAGCAAGTCAGAGAGCAGGTTTCGGACCCAGGGGCCGGAAACACACCTGATGTGCATGCCTGCGTGCCTCAGTGCGCACTTCCAATGTAGCTTTATGGGAAATCAACCTTGCATGCCTCAGGCTATTCTTAAGAAAGGCATAGAACTCTCCGAACATTGTATTAAAACAAAGACTGTATTCAGACTATTGAATTAACAGCGTAGGTGTAAGACACAGGAAAAAAATTGCCGTGGGCAATAGCTCAGAAATTGCATTTGAAGGTTACTGGATGACATTCCTTTGTTGATGAGCAAATTCTGAAGACTCAGCTTCCTATATTTAGATCCTCTGTAGCAGCAGCTTCTACGAGGGCTGTGTTACTTTTTAAAGCTATATCTTTGCAATAAAGTTATCAGAACTTTACTGAATTTCTGGCTCCACTCTCTTTATCCCAACCCTGCACAGTGTACTAAGAAATAAAAAGTGGGTAGCTGTGGACTGTTGTGGCCTTACATTAAACATTTTCCCTCTCGTATTTCTGTGTCTTCTTTTGGCTTAGGGGAATCAAGACCTCTATTTGACCAGTCCTGTATTTTGTAGTGATTTTCATATTGCAGAATCTCCTTATTTCTGCCTTATCTTTGAAACCAGCATATTAGTTATGGCATTCATGTCATCAGACAAAATGAATATATATCTTTCCATGTGTTTGTCCATCTACTACTCATTCTTTGTGGAGTACCGAGTACCTGTGATGTGTAAGGTGTTATAATGGGTTGAAGAGATGCCCAACCCAGGAAATTAAGATGAAGGTTATGCCTGGTTAGCATAAAAATCCCGTCAGCCCTCCCCATCCGCAGTTTCGCATCTGCAAATTCAACCAACCGCCCAACGTGTAGCATTGATGCTATGTTTATAATATGTGGGTGGTTGAGTCTGTGGATGCAGAACCTGCAGATAGGGAAGCTGGCTTAAGGAACTTGAGCGTCCTAGGGTTTTGGTGTCCATGGGGGCCCTGGAACTGTCCTCGCAGACACCGAGTAACAGCTGTGTGCCCAGAGGCGGAAAGTAAGTCACAGGTTATATAAATGCATTTTAAATAAATGCAGCTTCAAGCCAACGTGGCTTGACTGTTTTCCAGGAGGCAGTCATTACCCTGTCTATTGCAGTACAATAGGAAGAGTTACTGCCCTTGGCTGTGCACTGGATTCACCTGTAGAGCTTTAGTAATGAATGATGCTTGGCCCTAGCCCAGAAATTCAGAGTGAATGTCTGGCCCAGCAGGGAGCCTGGAGGACCCGACCCCAGAGTGGCTGGAGTGTGTTTTGTTTGGTTGGTGCCCAGTGATAGGCAGAAAAAACTGTGCAGGTTGTTGAATCATTCGTGGCTGCATGTATCAAGTTATTTGAATTTTATTTGGAAGGTGATGGGGTTCAAAGGGTTAAGGAGGAAAGTGGCATGATTTTGCTTTAGAAAGATTATTAAGGAAGCAGCAGGGAGTGAAGGGGTCCCTGGGGAGAGATGAGGCTCTGAACTGAGGCAGTGTCAGGGAAGGTGGAGAGAACGGGATGGGTTGGAAAAGGGCTCCCCAACTTCCAGGATCTAATGCCTGAGGATCTGAGGTGGAGCTGATGTAATAACAATAGAAATAAAGTGCACAAAAATGTAATGTGCTTGAATGCAGTGGTTAAGACTCTCTGCTTCCAGTGCAAAGGTTGTGGGTTCAATCCCTGGTGGGGGAACTAAGATCCCACCTGCCGCATGGCAAAAAAAAAAATTAAAATATGTAAAGAACTCTTGTAAGTGAAAGAGAAAACCACAATCATGCCATTAGAAAAATAAGGCAAAAGGCGTTAACTGGAAATTACATGAGAAATAATTTAAGCCTTCAGTAAACATTTCAAAGCAAGTTCCAATGGAGATAATGAGATGCCTTTTTTTTTCTTCTCCTGAAGAAAGGCAGTGGCAGAACCACAGAGTGTCAGAGCCCACAGGGACCAAAGCTGATTAGTCTCACAATCAGTTAAGTCCTTTGGAGAATGGAAGTAACTAGGGTAAGATTCATAGGAAAGGAAAGTGAAGTCGCTCAGTTGTGTCTGACTGTTTGTGACCCCGTGGACTGTAGCCCACCAGGCTCTTCCGTCCATGGGATTGTAAGATTCATACATATGCTGAAATCTCCTGGATGATCTAGAAGGCATTATGCTAAATGAAATCAGTCAGATAAAGACAAATACAGTATGATCCACTTACATGAAGAATCTGAAAAACAAAATGAAAACAGATTCATAGATACAGAGAAAAATGGGTGGTTGCCAGAATGGGAGGGAAGTGGTGAAGTGGGTGAAATAGGCATTGGGGAGTAAAAGGTACAAACCTCCTGTTATGAAATAAGCCATAAGGATATCATGTACAGCATAAGGGTCAAGAATATTGTAATGACTTTGTATGGGGACAGGTGGTGATCATTACATAATGCGTGAAAATGTTAAATAGTGACATAGTACACCTGAAACTAACATAATATTGCACATCAACTATATTTCAATTAAAAGTAAGGAAGAGAAAGGAAGGAAGGAAGGAAGAAAAGAAAAAGAGAGAGAGACAGAAAGGGATCGGTTTCTCGCCTGCCTATTTAGTCTTGCAGTTTTCCAAAGTGGCCACAAGATGTCAGTGTTAAAAATGCTAACAAGTCGGATGCCCTGGCTCAGCAGTTGAGCTTATTTTCAAATTACGAGGGAGTTTCCAGTTTTCAAAAATGTACATTTTAAGAGGGGAAAAACCATAAAAGCACTGCAGTTAGGGTATCAGTTCATTTTTTTCCCTTGTAAAAGAAATGGTATACTAGGTGAGTGTAAAGCCTTCTTTTAAAGAACAGCATTCCAAGGGGTTGTGCCAGGGGACGTTCAGTTTTGAATATGGCCCCTCTGGGACTCTGTATAGACATTCTGTCTGAAGTCTGGACTTCTCCCCAGGAAACTGTGCTAAGCACCCAGGCCTGGGATCCTGGGGTCTGAAGCTTCCCTGAGTGACAGCAGTGTGATATCCAGGAGGTCATTCCAAGCCCTTTCTGCTTCTCTCTGGTCCTCCTCCTTGCCAAGCCTCAGTGTTCTCTGCTGGACTACCGACTTCCTCTCAGACTTGTTTGTAAGATTAAATGAATTAACATAATATATTCTTACGAATGGCAGGAGGATAATAAGTTATAGGAGTCGCTCTGGGGTCAGACAACTCAAAGAGGAGATCGGTCACTTCAGGCTTCCCCCGTGGCTCAGTGATAAAGAATCTGCCTGCCAGTGCAGGAGACGCAAGGTCAACATCTGGGCAAGAAAGATCCTCTGGAAAAGGAAATGGCAATCATCTCCAGTGTTCTTGCCTGAGGAGTCCCCTGGACAGAGGAGCTTGGCGGGCTACAGTCCATGGGGTCACAAAGAGTCAGACACGACTGAGCACGCATGCATGCGCTGGTCACTTCCTAGGTGTGTGACCTTGGACGTCTCTGTACTTCCTTGAGGCTCCCTTCACTCATAGGTGAAAGAATGACAAAAATGTCCCCCATCTCATAGGCTTGCTGTGTGATTGTATATCCTGAGCATTCAGTGTCCCATCCAGTACCATATCAGTCTTCGTACCAATTATCGGGGACTTGTGCCTCTTCTGCATCTCTGGGCTCTTTGTGTGCTGCCTGTCGTTGCTGCATCCTCATTTTTAAATATCTGTCTCCTCCACGTGACTGTGAATTCTTCAAATACAGAAGCTGCATGTATGCATACATAATTTTCATCTCTGTATCCTCAGTGTTCATGCTACTAAGATCCTCCCCCCTCCCTTCTCCCCAGTTTACAGATAAGTGGGTGAAAACTTGGAGAGGTAAACTGAGTTGCCCAGTGTGCATCCTCAGTCATCAGTTACTAGGTTATGTCTGACTCTTTGTCACCCCATGGACTATATATAGCCCATCAGGCTCCTCTGTCCATGGTATTTCCCAGGCAAGAATACTGGAGTGGGTTGCCATTTCCTTCTCTAGAGCTGCCCAGTATTGCACACAAGTTGGCATTCCCCCTGCAGAGCACTTGTCTCTCTTGAGTCGTCATCGTGTGTTTATTTCTCTCTGTGCCTGACTGCAGGCTCCCCAAGGGCAGGAAAACCAATTCAGAGTTGTGTTCCTAGTGTCAGAATGTCATCATTATCATCGCTAACATTTATGGAGCATGAGGTGCCAGCCACTGTTCTAAGCATCTCTTCATGTGTTCATCAGTTGAATCCTCACATATAACTTGTGAGATGGGGACCATCAGTATCTGAATGTATAAGAGAAGAGACAAAGAATGGTTAACTTCCCTGATGTTGTACAGCCAAGTAGGAGGAGAGCCAGGCTGTCTGGACCGGGGGCCAGAGCACAGCATCAGTAATTGGTGCTGCCACTCAGGCCTCTGATGCAGAAGAGGGTTCGATCCCTGGGTCAGGAAGATCCCCTGGAGAAGGAAATGACAACCCACTCCAGAATTCTTGCCTGAGAAATCCCATGGACAGAAGAGCCTGGTGGGCTGCAGTCCACGGGGTTGCAAAGAGTCGTACATGACAGAGACGGAGCACACACACAATTCACTATGAGGAATGGCCCTAGGTGTGCCTTCAAGTTCTGCGTTCAGAGCTGCTTTGAAGGTGTCCTCTGAAGGGGGCTGAGAGGACCAAGACAGCAGGGCACGATTGAATGAGTGAGAGGGCGAGTGTAAGGCAGAGCTCGCCGCTCCAGAGTTGTTCAGTCCTGGCAGTGGGAAGCAGTGGAAAAGACTGGGAGCTGCCATGAGCCAAGGTGGGACTACATGGGGACTTTTCTCAGCAGAGGGCAGTGCTCAGTTTCCTGGGCCCGCCAGGTATGCCTTGGCATACCTGGGGGTTCAGCCCCTCAACTGCATCTCGCAAGCCTGGAGGGGTGGTATTGGGCTTCATCTTGGGTACCAGCTCTGGGGATGAGTTAAGTCTCTCTGGAGCCCTGTGCTGAGCAGGATGGGGGATGTGTCCACTCTCAGTGCAGAGAGCATGGCAGATGTCCTAATCTGTGTAGGAGGGGACCGTTGGCCATGCTGGGCAAACCTGCTGTCTGAGAGACCGGAATTCCTGCACCTTCTCTAGGTCTCCCAGGGCAGCCAGGCTGCCTGTCGTTGGTTTTGGGGTTCTGTCGGGGGCACTGAGTGCAATAGGCTGATCCACCCAGTATCTTAACTCGCTGCAGCCAGGTCACACACAGAGCCCCCCACCCCACATCCTCCCCCAGAGGGAGGGGAGACAGTGTCTCCATGGCCGTGTCCCCAGCTGTGGGGCCAGAGCCGCCTCCCTTCCTCCCTCTCCAGCGTCGTCTCTCAGCTCTGTTATTGTTGGCTGGTGCGAACAAGGCTGAACATCTGCCAGACATCTGCTCACGTCT